CCCCCCCCCCCCCTCCATCAAATCTTTACCCCCATTTGATTTTCTCCCTCGCTTCCTCTACTCACCCATCTCTTTAATACTCCCTCGTCCTATAATGTTCTTTCCGGTTTATTTTACGAAGTTTGACCGACTTTATTTTCAATTCAATTTATTTGATTGTAGGTGTAAAATTAAAAAAATAAAATTTATATATTTAAAAACTACATCAAAAAATCTACAAAACAAGTTGTGACAAGACTATATTATTTTATCAAATACCTAATGAAAATAGGTAAAGAAAGTGATTAAAGTTTGACTGGGTAAAAAGTGAGTAGAAAGAACATTTTAAGACGGATGGAGTAGAAAAAAATTATTGAACGGAGAGAGTAATTTTGGACTTTCTTTTTTTACTCCACCTCTTTTAAAGGACGATTGTTTTTTTTAAAAAAAAAACAAAGAGATCGAAGAAGAACATTGGAGGGAGAATATAATCTAAAAAGGATGATCTTGAAAACAGTACATACAAAAGAGAGAGAGAGATACTCTATTATAGTACGGAGTGTTATGTTTAATTAACTAATTTAAACAGTCATTTCGCCGCAAATGGATGAATTAATACACCCGACCCGAAGCCCACAGTGGACAATTGAGAAGTCAGTCGTCGGCCATGCATGCACACAAACACCCTTTTCCTCTTCTCTATATAAACTGCCATCCTATCAAACCTCCCTCCTAATCTACCCTACCCACCCCCATGTCCTAGCAATATACTCCCCCAGTTCTCAAAAACACTTCATTTTTCATTTTTTCTACTTCCAACAAAACATTTCTTTTTTCTATTAAAAAACCACTTTTACCCTTATTTTTTCATACTCTACCTATCACATCATACTTTTTCTCTAATAATCTATCCATCACATTTTACTTTTACTCATCACATCATGGGCAAAATTGGAAATCAACTATAATTTAACACTTCTTTATTTTTGCCCCAAATCAAAATGGGAAAAGTTTTTCCAAACGGAGGGAGTATTATTTTTTTTAAATAGGATCTAAAATTTGACTATGGAAAATTATAAAATTCTCTGCATTTTAAAAAAAATGACCTATTGCACAATTCTAGTCAAACAAGACATTATTAAAAATAATTTGAATAGTTATTGAAAAAATAATCATTATCTAACACTTGTTGTTAATGACTATATTCGTAGAGTCATTTTTATATAGCGCAAATACGCCGTAACTAATGTTTAAATACGAAGGTTTTTAGAATCTTCTAGATGTTTGCTGGGCACTCAACACATATTTTTTTACGTAAAACCGAACTGAACTTTAACCTGTAGTTCGATTTTCAGTTTTGGGTGACATTCGAACCAAAAAAACTAAACTCGGCCCTACATATTTGTATTGGTTCGCCGAGTTAGTGCCGTCGTAGCTTCTTAATGCTTATAAATTTTTAAAAAAACGAAATGAAAACCGCATATAAAACAAAATCAAATAACTATTTGTTTACATATTTTTGGTGCAAAAACGTACCAAACCGATAACTCACCTTCAGTTTAGTCATTGGTTTTGGGTGAAACACAAACCGCTAAAACCGAATCCACACCTAGTAAAAAAAAATATCTGGAATATGGAGTATGTAAAAAAAATTAAAACAGAAAGAAGACCGAACAAAGATCTACTACGACCCTTAGTGAGGATGAAATGGAAGAAGTGTGAATGGCATTGACCAACACCATATGGCCTAAAGGGAGAGAAGTGGTAAAAATCAAAAAAGCCCTTTTTGGTCTCTAGATCCAGCTATATGCCAAAAATAGGCACCCCACCCAAATAAAATATTGGACCAATTTTAAAAAAAAAAAAAAATTAAAAAAAAAACAATTTAAAAAAGAAAAACTGTCACAACATAATTTCCATCAAGGGCTAGTCAGATGCACCATATAATAGGTGAACAGATTTGCTGTAATACCCTCTTTTATAGAAGCCCTGATCCTTGATAACTACTGTACACCCTATAACTATAACGCTAGTTCAAGTAAAATTAACCCCCCCCCAAAAAAAAACATGTTTATTTAGAAAACTGCATTTTCTTTTGTGAACAAAAAAAACCCAAAGAAATTGAATAAACATAACTCCAACTAACTCTAGTTTAAATAAAATCATGATTTGACTTTTGGACACCTCTATTATTTATTTAAAAAAAAAAAATAAAAAAAAATAGTAGTACTAAAATTAAAAAAATTAGTTACAAGTAATTTTCCACTTACTAAACAAAAATAATTAAGAGATTAAGGCTGTTTGTGAGGGTATTTTCTTCTAAATAGTCCTAAAAAATGTTTTAAAAGAATTAATTAATTGGAGTATAAAAGAGAAAATGTAGGTGGAGCAATTAGAGCAAACCTTTTAATTCATGGGGCGAAGCTGATTTGGTCAAAGATACGCACCCATCCAAAGCCCAAGGAAAATCATTTAATTAATTCTATGATCTCCCCTCCTTTTTTTAACTATTTCTAAACTTATCCATCTCTAATTTAATTTCTTCCCCATTTATATTTTTTTTTATGTAAATCTCAAGAGAATATATAAATGATTAATTAATTAATGATCAGAAGAAGAATTTAGAAAAAAAATGTACCTGAAAGAGCGTGGCAAGGGCAGTGGCGGCGGCGAGACGTCCGTTAGTAGTAACGGCGTCAATGGCGACTTGGAAGGCCAAAGCTTCGACGACGGGGCCAGGCCAAACGCCGTTTCCTCCTCCTCTGCCGCGGCGGCGGCGGCTGCGGGACGTGGACGGCCGGGATTCGAGTCCCGGGTTTCTGACTCTTCCGCCCACCCGTTTGGACGAGGAAGACGAGGAAGACATTATAAGTTTGATCTTTGAATGATGTTATTAGGTATTATTTATACGTAACGAAATATGCGTATGTATACACGACAACATATGCGTATATGAAGGGGGGAGAGAGAGAGAGAGAGGCTGGAGACAAAAAAGATGGAGGAGAAGAATGAAGGGCACAGTTGAAGAAGAACTAGATAGTTAAGAATACAGTGTCAATTATTTATGTGTTGTTTGGTTAATTTAATGATATGAGAGAATATCTGTTGAGATTTAAGAGGGGGGGCGATGGCATGCGTTTATGTGGTTGGTTTTAGGAAGAAAGAGACAATGTTGGCCTCTATTCATTTTCAAAACAAAAAAAAATTTGTGTACTTTTAAGTTGTAACTTGTAACCCTATAAGCTTTGACATTGAGAGCTTGACATGGGCTAGATATGCATACATAATGATTTGATAGAATTTGAAAATAATCCATCTTCCCATTTCGCAAAACGAAGAAAAATCTCATGTTTTTTCAATCTATTTTATTTAAATATTGGTATAGAAATAAAAAATAAAACATACATATTTAAAAACTACATCAAAAGTTCAACAAAACAAGTGGTGACAAGAATATTTTATTTTATCATATAGCCATGAAAAAACACAAATAAATATAAATTCCTGTGAAGTTTGAATACTGCTCTGGGAAGATCATTATAGGACGGAGGGAGTATTGAAAGATACTCTCTCCGCCCGGAAAAGAAGTACCCATTATTCTGACTTTGGGAAGGAAATGTCCACAATACCCTTATTCCCTTCCCACATCCTTCTCTGTTACCTTAACACTGCCCTTCCCTGCCCACACCTCCACCGGCCACCGCCACCTCCTAATCGCCCCATTGACCCAACCCACGCCACCACCGTACCGCCGCACCCCCACCGTCAGCTCCACCCGCCGCAGGAGCTTTCCGAGGAAACAGATCTGGAGGTGCAAATCGCCACCGCCGTCAGCTCCACCCGCCACCATCGCCGGCAACCCAACACAAATGGATCTCCAAATTTTTTAGATCTGAAAAAAAATGAGATCCAACTCTGGTAGAAGAAGAAAATGACAAAAGGAAGAAAAAGAAGATGGGAGGAGGGAGAGAGAGAGGGGGAGATGAAGGCTAGATCTAGCGAGAAAAGAATGGAAAGAAGAAGAAGAAAGAAGAGGAGGAGGAAGATGGCGAGGAGAAGAAAAGGAAGGGGGTGAGGGAGAGAGAGATGTAGAAACTAATTTACGTCAAACTTGTGTTTTCCATTAGTCACAGGAGATATATATACATGACAGAGTACAGTAGCTACGGGCCCATAATATATGTGGCCCAATACATGATAAACAAATATTTACAAATATACTATGCTAACACTCCCCCTCAAGTTGGAGCATGAACATCATAAATGCCCAACTTGGACAATAAATTGTGAAAAAGAGGACCAGAGAGAGCCTTTGTGAAAATATCCGCTGTCTGGAAGCGCGTAGGGACATATACAGTGACAATATGATTACGCTGAAGGCATTCCCGGACTATATGACAGTCAATATCAATGTGTTTCGAACGTTCATGGAAAACTGGATTAGCCGCGATGAACAAGGCAGACTTGTTGTCACAATATATACGAGGAGTTGCAACGCACGGGACATCCAAGGCGGCCAAGATCCCACGCAACCAACGAATCTCAGCACAAGCATTTGCCATAGCACGATACTCAGCCTCCGCAGAAGACCGAGAAACTGTATTCTGCTTCTTTGTGCGCCAGGAGACAGGATAACCACCCAAGAGAATAAAATAGCCAGTGATAGACCGCCGTGTGAGGGGACAGCTGGCCCAATCAGAATCAGAAAAGGCAGTGAGGGCGAGATTACTATCGCTGCGCAACAAAATTCCCTGACCAGGATGGCCTTTTAAATACCGAAGGACACGAAGAGCCGCATTCCAATGATCAAGACGAGGAGCCTACATAAACTGAGACAAAGTGTGAACAGCATAACATATATCAGGACGAGTGATAGTGAGATAGAGCAGACGGCCCACAAGACGACGAAACTTAAGAGGATCCCGAATCTCAGCGCTAGTGGAACGAGCTAGATTATGATTAACGGGCAAGGGTGTTTTGGCAGGCTTACAACCAAGGAGATTAGCCTCCTCAATAATGTCAAGGGCATACTTTCGCTGATTTAGGACCATACCATCGTGAGAACGAGCACATTCGATCCCCAGAAAATAGGACACACGACCGAGATCTTTGAGATGAAAACAGTCGTCCAAATATTTCTTGAATGAAGTACACAATGACCTGTTGTTACCTACCACTAAAATATCATCAACATAAACAAGAACAACCAGCATTGATAAGTACATTTTGTACTTATTATTTTTCTTATATTTAAACGTTTTTGTATGTAAATAAAATTAATTAAGGTAAAAATATTTATTTTCTTTTCTAAATTTCTCAAAGTTGTCATTTTGTTTATAAAAAAAGGGTGTTCAAAACAAATTTGGAATTTTCAAACAGAAACTTGTTCAAACAGAGTAAAAACTTGAAAGAAAATAAAATATTTGAGACATTTAAGTTCAATTTCGTCCATAGCTCCAGAAGAGAAAAATGTTCAGCACAAAATATGGAACTTGCCACAGAAATTCGAAGCCCAAAAACCAAGGTTGGGCCGGGCGACATGCTGGGCGACCGCCCCGGACCCAGCCCCGGGATTCAATTGCAAGATAAGGCAAGAAAACGACATGTTTTACAGGAATATTTTTATCGACTGCGGGGCGACCTGCTGGGCGACCGCCCCGGACCCAGCCCCGGAATCCAAACGGCAGCTAATTGCAACTGGCAGCAACTTGGGGCGGAATATTCAAATATTCCTCCTAGGGCGACCTTCCGGGCGGCCGCCCCACTCCCCGCCCCGGAGATTCCTAGGCCTATAAAAGGCAGCGTTGATCAGCCTTCTTCATCATCCTCTCTTCGTTTTTTCCTCTCCATAGCAGCGAGAATCATTATAAAATTGTAGTTTTAGTTTATTTTGGGAGTTTCAGTTCCAGTACTGTTCCAATTCCACTTTTCTGGACGTTGTAAGTTTCTTTAATTAATATTATAAACATGTTTTGTTATTCAATTTGTGCACTTTTTATTATTACTATGTCTTTTTAAACATATTAGGAATGTGAATTGAAATTAGGGTAGTAGCTATGTAGGAAAAATAATTATGTTGGAGTATTAAATTTAATTAATTGAAATGTTAAGTTGCTAGTAATTGTTGAATGTTCTATTTAATTAATCTGGCCAATTTATTAATTAATGTTGAAAAAAATTATTATGTCCATTTGTCAATGAATGAGAAAAATAATTTCGTCAATCAATTCTAGCACATTAATAATGCCTAGAGATAGGATAAATTTAATGGAGTTATTGTGACAGAATTACTCACTAGCTAAATTAATTAGTTAATTTAATAATCCAACTAGTTAAATTATCTGAAATATTCCTACTACCTGAAATCAATTCATATTCCTTTTTATCAACCAATTATTCTATTACTATGTCCAACTCAGTTTAATTCCAAACCACAAATACTTTTCGAATTTAGAAGGCTTCCAAAACCAATGAGTAAAACTTTGCCTAACTAGATTTTAATCGAAAATTTATTTTAACACCAATCCACGTGAATACGACACGGGAATAAATTGATCTCTTTTAGAGTGAAATTTACTACCGCTAAAACTCATTCGTCAAATAGCGCCGTTGCCGGGGATTGGTGCTTAATTTAATTTTTCTGTTATAAATTTTTATAGTTAGCCTAGTAGAAAATTGGTTAGGTCGATTTTCTAGCATCTTTACATACTTTGGCAAAATTACATGCAAACCCGCTCAACTAGTGGGGGTAGTTTTGCTCCGTTCACTGAAAATCCTGAGAAAATTCTCCGACAAAATACTTTGAAAAATTCACCCGGTGGGGATTTTAAGGAAGAAGAAGAGATAGAGGTTGATCGGCCCATAATGGAGGAAAATAACGGACGTAGGCGGACTGTGCTCCAAGCCATGAGCCCCGCCTATGTTGAAGAAGACCCCATCGGACTCCCGAACACTGACGCCCACACATTCGAGATCAAACCTGCCATGATCCAAATGGTCTCGAATAATCAGTTCGGGGGTATGAAGGGAGAAGATCCAAGGGCCCACATGCTATGGTTCTCCCGAACCTGTCAGACGCTGAAGATGAACGGAGTGACCTCCGATCGTATCAAACTATCACTCTTTCCTTTCTCACTTCGAGATAGGGCGGCCCGATGGTTGAATACGTTCTCAAAGGGTCATTTCAAAACCTGGGAGGCACTACACCAAGCTTTCATGCACAAATACTTCCCACCATCCGCCATCGCCAAAATCAAACGATCGATCCAGAATTTCTCTCAAGATTCGATCGAATCCCTAAGCGAGGCATGGGAAAGATTCAAGGATCTGAAGATCAAATGCCCACCTGCCCTAATTGATGCTGATAGCCTGATGTTCCATTTTTATCAAGGACTTCTGGTGCCGTCAAAGAAAGAACTCGACCACTCTTCTAAGGTCGGCTCTTTCTTAGATATGACACCGGAAGAAAATGAGGATCTGGTGGAGAGACTAACTTCAAATGCCAAATACTGGTACGAAGACCGAGCACCACAACAGAAGGCTGGCATGTAACGAAGTGGATTCCTTGACGGCACTTAAAGCAAGCATGGAAAGTTTGATCAAACGAACTATTCAAGATCAGTTCAGTGCAAGCTCCCGATCCAACAAACCATACGAGTTAGTTGCTCAGGCTGATAACTACTGTCAAGGCAGTTCAAGTTCGCACTCAAACGAACTTGTTCTATCTTGTGAATCATGTACAGGTACACACTTGACAGCCCAGTGCCCTTACTATGAAAGCCCGATCAAGGAAAAGCCTAGAGAAGCAAATTTGGCCCAGTATGCAAACAAGGGGGAAGGACCATGGGCCACGAACCAGTACCAACCAGCCCACTGGCGCAATGATCTTTCAAGAGAGCGCAACAACAATTTCCAAAGAAACAATCGTCCGAGGGACGATTTCAGACAAGGAGGCTGGAACAACAACTGGAATCAGAGAGGGCCTAACTTCAACCAAGGGGGAATACTCAAGCATATGTCCCTCCACACCAGAGACAAGCTGAGGATCCCACGACCGAGATGAAGAAAATGCTAGAAGCAAAAGACAAGAAAAATGAAGAAAGAATCCAGAGATTGGAGGAGTCGATGCGACAACTTATGGAACAAATGACGATCCGACCTCCAGGAACTTTGCCAGCCAAAACTGAAAACAACCCACGAGAACACCTCAAGGCTGTTACCTTGCGAAGTGGGAAAGAAACGAAGGGCATTGGCCAGAGTTCTGAACCAACTCTGAAAGATTATGTGGCTGAACCAGTCAATGAGCCAACTGAGAAGAAGAAAGAAGAAGAAAAGAAGGACAAAGAACCTTTCCAGTCCCAATATCCAAACAGCGATCTCCCGCTAAAGAAGGTGACCATACCCTTTCCTTCAAGGGTAAAGAAGAGCAAGGATGAAAAAGCCTTCAAGAAGTTCTTAGACATCATGGGCCAAGTTGAAGTCAAACTGCCCTTAGTCGATGTCTTGACGGAAATGCCAAAGTACGCCAAGTTCTTGAAAGACTTGGTCACACATAAAAGGGACTGGGAGGAACTTCCAATGATCAATCTCAATGCAAGCTATTCTGCGTTGTTACTCCAGCACATGCCTGAAAAATGCAAGGATCCAGGTAGGTTCTCTATCCCTTGTTCTATCAAAGACATGCATTTTAAACATGCCCTAGCAGACTTAGGTGCAAGCATTAATCTGATGCCCACATCGATTATGGAACAGTTAGGAATTTCTGAACTAAAACCATCTCGAACATGTGTTCAACTAGCGGATAGTTCTGTCCGTTACCCTCGGGGAATAGTTGAGGATGTGTACATAAAGGTTGATAAATTCACATTCCCAGCTGATTTCGTAATCCTTGACATGGAAGAGGATTCTGAAATGCCTCTGATCTTAGGCCGGCCATTTTTAGCAACTGTTAAGGCCTTGATTAATGTTCATGATGGGAAAATGACCTTGAAAGTTGGAGAAGATGAGTGTACCTTCAAATTGACAGACTTGATGAACCAATCTCCAGACCCTACTGAATTTTGTCACTCTGTGAAAATTTTAAAAAACAAAGGGTCTGTTGAGACACTTCTCGGCCTGGAGGAGATTTTGAAGGTTGAGGGGATTGAACCAAGTAAGTGTGAGGATGTTCAGGAAGTTGAGGCTAAGGGACTTGATTCCCTAGAATTGAAGCCACTTCCCAAACATCTTGAGTATGCATTTTTGGATGACGAGGGCAAATGCCCAGTCGTCATCGCATCTGATCTGAGTGTGGGACAAAAGGCCGATCTAATGATAGTCCTCCGACAACACAAGCAAACTTTTGCTTGGAAGTTGGAGGATATTCAAGGAATCAGCCCGGCCTTTTGCACCCACAAAATTGCACTTGAAGAAGGGTCTAAGCCCGTTGTTCAAGCACAACGGAGGCTTAACCCGAAGTTAATGGAGGTTGTCCAGAAAGAGGTCCTCTGATTGTTAGACGCGGGTATCATCTACCCTATTTCTGACAGTCGGTGGGTTAGTCCCATTCATGTTGTCCCAAAGAAGGGAGGAATGACAGTTGTTCAAAATAAGAAGGGTGAACTTGTGCCCAGTCGCACAGTCACCGGGTGGAGAATGGTAATTGACTATCGCAAACTAAATGATGCCACCCGGAAAGACCATTTTCCCCTTCCATTTATTGACCAGTTAATTGAGAGACTGGCGGGGCATGCTTATTACTGTTTTCTCGATGGAATGAGCGGTTACTTTCAAATTTATGTCAACCTCGAGGATCAGGAAAAGACCACATTTACATGTCCATTCGGAACGTTCGCCTTCCGGCGAATGTCCTTTGGTTTATGTAATGCCCCTGCCACCTTCATGAGATGTATGATCGGAATCTTTGAGAAATTTATTGGCGATTTCATGGAGGTCTTTATGGATGATTTCTCCATCATTGGGGAATCATTTGAAGAGTGTCTCAAGAACCTCGAGAAGGTGTTGAAGCGGTGCGAGGAAACCCACCTGGCCTTAAGTTGGGAGAAATGCCACTTTTTGGTCAAGGAAGGGATCGTACTAGGGCATAAGGTCTCTAGCAAAGGAGTCGAAGTCGACAGGGCAAAAATTGAAACGATAGAGAAACTTCCCCCACCAACTTCCGTTAGAGCCATCCGTAGCTTTCTTGGCCACGCTGGTTTCTATCGAAGGTTTATAAAGGATTTCTCTAAAATAGCTAAGCCTTTGACCCGTCTGCTAGAAAAAGGAGCAGAATTTGACTTTGATGACGAATGCTTAAAAGCCTTTAACACTCTAAAGGAAAAATTGACCACCGCACCAGTCCTTGTGGCTCCTGACTGGACCAAACCATTTGAGCTTATGTGTGACGCTAGTGATCAAGTGATAGGGGCTATTCTTGGCCAACAGGAGGGTAAAAACTTCCATCCTATTTACTATGCAAGTAGAACATTGTCAGGGCCACAACTGAATTACACCACCACCGAGAAAGAATTCCTCGCCATGGTATATGCTCTGGAAAAGTTTAGGCCTTACCTCATTCTGTCAGAAGTTACTGTCTACACCGATCATTTGGCGTTAAGATATCTACTTCAGAAGAATGACGCGAAGCCTAGGCTATTACGCTGGGTATTATTGTTGCAGGAGTTTAAAGTTCAGGTCAAGGACCGAAGTGGGTCCGCAAATAAGCCTGCCGACCACCTGTCTCGTCTAGAACTAGACGTGGCCAATCAATTTGGAGAATGCACAGTCGATGAGGTTTTTCCGTTTGAGAGAATACTCAGAGCTGATGAGAAGTCACCATGGTATGCCGATATAGCTCACTTTTTAGCTGGAAATATCGAACCTACCATGGTCTCTTCTCATATGAAACGGAAGCTCAAACGGGAAGCCAATCACTACTTCTGGGAGGATCCTTACCTGTTTCGGATTTGCGCTGACAGGGTGGTGAGAAAGTGTGTGAATGAAGAAGAAGGGGAAGAGATACTAAAACACTGTCATGCTGGGCTAGTTGGTGGCCATTTTTCAGGAACAAGAACCGCACGGAAGGTGCTAGACAGTGGGTTCTTTTGGCCCACCATTTTTCGAGACGCCCATACATTTGTGACCAGGTGTGAGGAATGCCAAAGGACGGGAAACATCACCCGTCGTGATGAGATGCCACAACATTATATACTTCCCTGTGAGGTATTTGATGTTTGGGGTATTGACTTCGTTGGACCATTCCCGAGCTCATACGGAAATAAATATATCCTGGTGGCAGTTGAATACGTCTCAAAGTGGGCCGAAGCCCAAGCTTGTCAGAGGGATGATGCACGCACGGTGGTGCATTTCTTGAAGAAATTGTTTACGAGGTTCGGAGTACCTCGAGTATTGATTAGTGACAGAGGGACCCATTTCCGAAATGATCCCTTGGCCAGAACCTTGCAGAGATATGGAGTCCAACACAGAGGGGGTGTTGCTTACCATCCCCAGACTCAAGGCCAAGTGGAGAACACGAACAGAGATCTGAAGGCAATCTTGGAAAAGACCGTTGCTAAAACTCGGAAGGACTGGAGTTTGAAGCTTGATGATGCCTTATGGGCCTTCCAAACTGCTTATAAAACTCCCATCGGAACTACTCCTTTCCATCTCGTTTACGGGAAATCTTGTCACCTGCCCGTCGAGATCGAACACAAAGCACTCTGGGCACTCAGAAACGTGTGTCTGGATTCATCAGCAGCAGGAAGGGAGAGATTCTACCAGTTGGATGAGTTAGATGAGTGGAGAACGCTGGCTTTCCACAACAATCTGCTATACAAGGAGCGCGTCAAGAAATACCACGATGCGCACATTAAACAGTCCAAAGAGTTCCACGAAGGGGACCAAGTGGTTCTGTACAGTTCCCGGTTAAGGTTGTTTCCCAGGAAACTGAAGTCTCGATAGTCTGGACCGTTTGAAGTGGTGAAGGTCTATCCGTATGGAACGGTAGAAATTCGAGGGAAGAATGGCGAATTCAAAGTCAATGGTCACCGCCTGAAAAAATTTGAGGGAGGAGATGTGCTCCGAGAGAAAACCATGATGTACCTCCAAATCTTGGAGGACTAAGAAGGAGAATTGCGTCCAGCTAAATGACGTTAAAGAAGCGCTGAACGGGAGGCAATCCGTAAAAAAAAAATATAATAGAGTGAGAAAGACTTTTTGTGTGATAAAAATGATATATGTACCGTGTACAGAATGACTGTCTAAGCTGGAATGGTACTTAAGTAGACACAACGGGTGACGCCTTCGGGAGCTGAACTTGTCCCACCATTCCTACTGGGTCATTCTGTAGAAAGGTTTATTCGTGTAAGCCTAAGAGCACCTAATTGGCAGCGTTCTGCCCGATCCCGAATATTCTGAATCGGTCTGGTTACCGTTTTTAACACAGTTATTTTGAGAAAAGAAAAAAAAAGAGTACTTGTCGCACCAGATTTTGGGGGCAAGTTTAACATGTTTGTTTAATTTTGTGCAGATGGCTGATTACCCTGCTAATGGACTAGACTTACCTTTTGCTACCCCCGAGGCGCGCGATCGATATCGGGATTGGGGTAGCAAGAAGGTATTGACGCCGCCGATGATATTGGACCATGCAGCGCTGGAGAGCATGGGGTATTGGGAGGAGGTTGATGACTTCCTCCATGACCCCAAATGGAGGCGCTTGCTTTCACTCCGTGCACAAGCTAGCGTGCCACTAACGATGGAGTTCATCTGCTCGCTGAGGTTCGGCGTTTATGGGAGCAGAGTTCGAGATGTGGAGGGAGTCCATCCCTCAGTACGGACGACGTTCACGCTTCGTGGGACGAGATTTGATATTCCCGTTCTTGATCTAGGACGCCTGCTGGGGATATATACTCCTGAGGAGACGAGCTCACCGGACTTTCTTGCCCTGCCACGTCGACTTCCTTTGGATGTTGACGTCAAGGCATTTTGGAGGACTCATTCACGTAGCACTAGAGACTTCAGCAACAAATACAGCTCATCATCCGATTGGAGGAGTCCCGCGTGGAGGATACTTAGTCACCTCCTCTGCTGCAGCTACTTTGGACGTCATAAGAACGCCAACAGAGTTTACGACACTGATCTGATCTTCTTTTGGAGCCTGGAGAGCCACACACCTGTGGACCTTTCCTCTTTTGTTGGGCGTTTCCTATTTGATCAGTCGACAGGAAACCGCCATCACATACAGGCTGGACCCATTATCACTCTGTTGGCGCGCGCCCTCGTGCCTACCATCGTCATCCCAGACCTTCTCCCCGAGGAGTCTAGTGTACGGCCTATCACTTCTGAGTCTCTCATCCACATGGGATTCAGAAAGAGGCCACGCGACACTACATACGAGCCAGATCAGGACACGGGCACGGGCAGTCCTTCATACATGCCGGCGAGCATGCCCGCAGATGGAGCCTCTTCCTCTGCTGTTCCACGTCCATTGCCTACTACATTTGAGGAGCTAACCACTGCTTTTGGTGATCTCCGGACATCGATTGATTCACGCTTCCAGCTTTATGAGCAGCGGTGGACCGCCTTTGAGCAACGTCAGGAGACTTGCTGGAAGGAAATCCAGGATCATCAGCATCGCATTGAGACTAGCCTTGCAGAACAGGGTACGCAAATTGCCCATATCTTGGACTACGTGGAGGCACAGCAAAGAGTCCCTAGCACCACTCGCCAGAGAGGGCGCGGTCCACGGCATGGAGGAGGACGTGGGCAGTGAGCTATTCCCCTGCACTAATATGTTTCTTCTGTTTTGTTTGATTCAGGAATGGTTGGAACTTCAGTTTGTTTTGAACACACCTTTGGTAAACCTTTTTTATTTTTAATTACTTTTATTTACATCAGCATATTGTTTATATTTAAGTGTGAGGACAACTTAGTATTTGCATGCACATTCTTCCACCATAACTCTAATTTCTGATCACTTTAAAACCTGCGAGGGCGCGGTTCCGTCTAAAGTGTGAGGAGGAGAGAAATATGGTTGAATCACTTTTTAGGAATATAATTTATCTCTATATTTGTAGGAAAATTATATATACAGTCATCAATTTTAATTTTCAAAAAGGAATTCTTTTACCCTAAAATAAGGATACTTAAAAAATTTTTTGTCAAACTTAAATTTTTGTGCAAATTTTTGAAAATTTTTGGTACAAATTGACAAATTTTGGTCTAACAATTGTTTTAAAATCATGCTCTCTAATTTTTCAGTAAAAATTTATTCTGTACAAAAATATTTCGTAAGGTCAAATAATTTTTAATTGTTTTATTAGAAATCTCTTAAGATACTGCTCCGCTATTTTTCAAAATATGAGCACTTATTGTTTCTTTAAAAATTCTTTCTCAAAACTTTTTTTTCAAACACACCTTGGTGAGAACGAGTTCTGGAGTGAGTTTAAGTTCAAAAAGCATTTGGTTCTATATCAGATGATGAGACTTATTTTGGGTAAGTGCCAAAAAGCATGCGGTTCTATGTCGTGTGATGAGGTTTTTGAGTGAATAAAAATCCAAAAATCTTGTGGTTCTATGTCATGAGATGATGATCAAATTTATACTCGTGTCAACATGACAAGGTGATCTTTAAAAAAAAAGGAGAAACATTTTCAAGAAACAATTTTCTAATTCAATCATTAAAGATTCTTTGACCATGTAAAATATTCAAGTAACTAAATAAATTGTTATTTAAAATTTAGAGAACATGATTTTGATATGTGGTTATAAGGATTTAAAACTAGTACGTTTGGTTTAAACTAATTTAAACATATTTTTATACTCAAACTGTTTTCTAAATAAAGGATTGTTATACCCAATTTGAAGAAAAATCTTTTAATTCAACTACTGACAGGTATATCTTGTTCCTACAAATAGATTGTGTAAATATTTTTCGTGAATGTGTTAAGTTGTCCTTGTTCTTTTAGTTATTCAGTTTGTTGCTTGAGGGCAAGCAACGTTTAAGTCTGAGGAATTTGATAAGTACATTTTGTACTTATTATTTTTCTTATATTTAAACGTTTTTGTATGTAAATAAAATTAATTAAGGTAAAAATATTTATTTTCTTTTCTAAATTTCTCAAAGTTGTCATTTTGTTTATAAAAAAAGGGTGTTCAAAACAAATTTGGAATTTTCAAACAGAAACTTGTTCAAACAGAGTAAAAACTTGAAAGAAAATAAAATATTTGAGACATTTAAGTTCAATTTCGTCCATAGCTCCAGAAGAGAAAAATGTTCAGCACAAAATATGGAACTTGCCACAGAAATTCGAAGCCCAAAAACCAAGGTTGGGCCGGGCGACATGCTGGGCGACCGCCCCGGACCCAGCCCCGGGATTCAATTGCAAGATAAGGCAAGAAAACGACATGTTTTACAGGAATATTTTTATCGACTGCGGGGCGACCTGCTGGGCGACCGCCCCGGACCCAGCCCCGGAATCCAAACGGCAGCTAATTGCAACTGGCAGCAACTTGGGGCGGAATATTCAAATATTCCTCCTAGGGCGACCTTCCGGGCGGCCGCCCCACTCCCCGCCCCGGAGATTCCTAGGCCTATAAAAGGCAGCGTCGATCAGCCTTCTTCATCATCCTCTCTTCGTTTTTTCCTCTCCATAGCAGCGAGAATCATTATAAAATTGTAGTTTTAGTTTATTTTGGGAGTTTCAGTTCCAGTACTGTTCCAATTCCACTTTTCTGGACGTTGTAAGTTTCTTTAATTAATATTATAAACATGTTTTGTTATTCAATTTGTGCACTTTTTATTATTACTATGTCTTTTTAAACATATTAGGAATGTGAATTGAAATTAGGGTAGTAGCTATGTAGGAAAAAATAATTATGTTGGAGTATTAAATTTAATTAATTGAAATGTTAAGTTGCTAGTAATTGTTGAATGTTCTATTTAATTAATCTGGCCAATTTATTAATTAATGTTGAAAAAAATTATTATGTCCATTTGTCAATGAATGAGAAAAATAATTTAGTCAATCAATTCTAGCACATTAATAATGCCTAGAGATAGGATAAATTTAATGGAGTTATTGTAACAGAATTACTCACTAGCTAAATTAATTAGTTAATTTAATAATCCAACTAGTTAAATTATCTGAAATATTCCTACTACCTGAAATCAATTCATATCTCTTTTTATCAACCAATTATTCTATTACTATGTCCAACTCAGTTTAATTCCAAACCACAAATACTTTTCGAATTTAGAAGGCTTCCAAAACCAATGAGTAAAACTTTGCCTAACTAGATTTTAATCGAAAATTTATTTTAACACCAATCCACGTGAATACGACACGGGAATAAATTGATCTCTTTTAGAGTGAAATTTACTACCGCTAAAACTCATTTGTCAAGCATGTCAGGACCACGCTAAAGAACAAAAAGAGTGTGATCTGCATGAGCCTGACGAAAACCATAACGTCGTAGAGCAATACGGAGCTTGGTGAACCAGTTACGAGGAGACCGTCGAAGGCCATACAGAGACTTACGAAGGCGACAAACCTTCCCTGGAAAGAGGTGAGTGTAACCTGGTGGGACTTTCATATAGACTTCCTCCCGTAAATCGCCATGCAAGAAAGCATTATTCACATCCAACTGATCAACTTGCCACCCACGAGCCACTGCAACAGACAATAACACACGAAAAGTGTCAGTATAATCAACTCCAAGCTCCTGATGATTGCCCAAAACAACAAGGCGTGCTTTGTCACGCTCCTTAGTACCATCAGACCTATATTTTGTCCTGTACACCCACTGACAACCAAGAGCACGCCGATTAGGAGGTAGATCAACCACATCCCAAGTATGATTACGGTCCAGAGCCAAGTATTAAGTAGCCATAGCTTCCCGCCACGAAGTAAACTGAACCGCTTCACGGAAATTACGGGGAACACTCGCGGCATCAATAGCTCCAAGAAAACCTTTGTACCTGTCATGCAACTTAGAATAATGAACAAAGTTAGTGATAGGAAACCGAGTACCAGATTGTGACGAACAGGAGGAGACTGGACCCGGAGTGACAATCTTTGCGGAATGAAGGACATAGTCATTTAAGTGAGATGGACGACGATGCGTGCGAGGCGGAAGGGGTGGAGGTATAGGCGGTGGAGAAGTGGTCTCCACCGGGGAAGACACGGCGCGTTCGTCGTTTGATGAGGAGTCGGTGGAACTGTCGGGAGTGGAAGGAGAAGATGACGGGGACAGTGACACTGCCGGCTGCTGGGTTGGGACTGGTACGGCAGTGGGGACAGGAGACACTGCCGGCTGCTGTGGCATCGGTTCGGCAGGGGTGATAGAGGTTGGAGGGACGGGGAAATCAACAGGGGATGGTGTGAGAGTGGGTTGAGGAATAGACAAGGGAGTAGGAATTGCAAACGGAAAAGTAGTTTCATCAAAAGAAATATCCCTCGTATGGAAAAAGTTATGTGTATCAAGATTATAAACTCTCCACCCTTTGGTCCCATATGGATATCCCATAAACACACATTTGACGCTTTGTGGGGAAAATTTATTTCTTAGTTTAGGAATAGGATCGACAAAACAAAGACACCCAAAAAGCCGAAGATGACTGAGGTCCTGAGGTTTACCAGAAAGAACTTCGAGGGGAGATTTACCACCGAGAGTTTTAGTGGGTGTACGATTAATTAGGTAAACAGTAGTTTTAACACACTTCCTCCAAAATTCCAGTGGAAGAGACGCTTGAAACATAAGGGAACGGGCGACATTCAATATGTGACGATGCTTACGTTCTACCCGCCCATTTTGTTGTGGGGTACCAACACAAGACGTTTGAATACACACACCTAAGCTTTCATAATACTGACGCAACGAGGAGTTGAGAAACTCTGTACCATTATCAAAATGAACAATTTTTATTGTTTTGGAAAACTGGGTGTAGATCATAGTGAAAAACGACATAAACAGGAGGTGACCTTACTTTTAGACTTAATCAAATAAACCCAGACAGCCCGAGAACAATCATCAACAATGGTCAAAAAATAATGTGCCCCCGACGAAATACAAGGTGAATAAGGACCCCACAAATCACAATGAATTGAGTCAAAAATAGCATCAGCTTTGTTATCACTGGTATGAAACGAAGAACGAGTTTGCTTAGACAAGAAACAAATTTCACATGTCTGTAATTTTCTGACAACAGATTGAGTTTTATTGGTACCAACAAAAGAAAGAACATCCGCGGAGGGGTGGCCCAACCGTTGATGGAGAACAAGAGGATCAGTGTTGGCTACGAGGGCTGACGCAGGAACTGAGGCAAAGACATACACGCCATTTCGCAAATTACCCTGACCAATCACCATCTTCGACAAACGGTCTTGTATCACACAACAATGATCATTAAAAGTTACACAACAAGTATTATCACGAATTAAGAAGCCCACAGAAATCAAATGACACTGTAAGTTTGGTACGTATAACACGTTACGGAGTACCAAACGAGAAGACAAATGCACAATTCCTTGTTTAACAGCCGGAACACGAGACCCATCAAGGAGACATATGGAATGAGGAGACACTTCATCAACATTAAATAAGTGGGCAAGAGAACTTGTCATGTGATGCGAAGCACCACTATCAATTAACCAGTCAGAAAAAGAATTACCGGTGTATGCATGAGATGCCGATGCCTCTAACATAGACATCAAGCGGGACATTTGATCACTGAGGTTGCCACTCGAGTTAGACACAAAAGCATGCACTGCAGCCTGACCGCCGCTACCACTTCCCTGGACGTGCTGCCCACTGGCGGAAGGAGCTGGAGAGGCGCTGCCATGCCGATGGACACCACGGCCACCTGATGACGAGCCACCGCGACTGCCACGACCCCGTCCTCCACCACGAGCAAATTGTGCTGGAAATCCAATGAGTTCAAAATAGGTGTCCACGCTATGATTGGTACGGCCACAATGCGAACAAGATCGGCTTGGACCCGGAGGACGTTTGTCGGGTCTGGCAGCAAAAGCAACCGAGTCCGTGCGATCATCTCGATTGCGAATAATGTGGCGATGAGGCTCCTCTTGAGTCACCAAAAAATACGCACGGTCGAGATTGGGCACGGGTTCTGTACCAAGAATTTGTGAACGAATATTTCCAAATTGTTCATCATCCAGACCAAGCAAAAAATCCACGGTCTTGTCACGTTCAATACGAGCGCGTGTGACTGCCGCGGCTTCACACCGGCAGCCCCCGGTGAGATCAGAGGTGTCATTTAATTGATTCCACAAGGTAATGAATTGATTGTAATAAGAGACAACACTTTGACCCTTTTGACGGAGAGAATTCAACTCTGATTTTAGTTGGTAGACACGCAGCCCATTGAACTATAACGTTTCTTCAAATCATCACACAACTCATAAGCAATTGAGTGAGACACAATACTAGGTTGAATGGATTCATCAACACTATTAAAAATCCAACTACAAATAATTTGATGATTTGCAAACCAAGCAGACAACTCGCCTTCATCAACAGGTTTGGGAACTCCTGCGGGTGACAAAAAATAGCTTTTCCACGACCACCCAACGCATTACCTATTGCCTTCTCCCAAACATCAAAGTTATCACTTTTGAGGAGATATTTCGTCAAAGAATTACCCGGACCTTCGGAGGGATGAAGGTAATATATAGAGGAGGCATCATGAATCAGCCGTGCCTTTTTAGGGTTAGATGCGACCACTTCTCCAGACATGGTGACGATCGGCGAAGAAGGCACGGAGGATCACAAGCGACGATCTGACGGAGAACCGGTGACGAACCGACGGCTAACACTCCGGATGGCACACGAACGAAAAACACGAGCGTAGGGTTTCGAGAATTTTACCCTAGGATTTGCTCCAATACCATGTAGAAACTAATTTACGTCAAACTTGTGTTTTCCATTAGTCACAGGAGATATATATACATGACAGAGTACAGTAGCTACGGGCCCATAATATACGTGGCCCAATACATGATAAACAAATATTTACAAATATACTAGGCTAACAAGAGAGAAAGAGTGGAAGGAGGAGGAGGAGGACGGAAGAGGAGGAAGATACAGAGAAAGGACGGGAAAGGAAGAGAAAAGGGGGATGGAAGAGAGAGAGAGAATACATGTGGCTGTGGTGCTGTGCGTGTGATGGCAGGCCGAGAGAAAAACGAGAAAGGATGAGAAGGGAGGGGTAATTTAGAAAGATTGGGTATGAAAACGTAGACTGTGAACTTTATTTTCGGACGGAAAAAAGCGTAGACTGTGAACTTCTTTTCCGGACGGAGGGAGTATTTCTCTATATATAGAAATTAAATGAGAGAGATCTAATCATAATAGGAAAAAAACTATGCTAAGAAGATATTAAGGAAACGACAAAGGTGGAAGATAACTAAGTATAATATCTATTTTCTATTACCCCTACAGGCTGATCAACGAAGACGAGAGGCAGCTTGGAGCATAGATATTCAAACAATGTGGGGGAAAGCGGCTTCGTCAAGAGATTTGCGAGTTGCTCAAAGGGTGGAACATAATGAGTGGGCATCGTGCCAGCTATAACTTCATCATGCACCAAGGGATCGTGTCAGAACTTACATGTTTTATGCGATCATGCAAAACATGATTTTTTGTGACACAGTTGGTAGATTCATTGTCATAGTAAATTGTTAGTTTTGACGGAGGAATGTCAACTGCAAATGTAATGTAGCGAAGTCACATGGCCTGCGTTTCCCCGCGGCCACGGCGCGATATTCGACTTCTGTGGAGGAATGAGAGACACGAGTCTATTTCTTCTTGTACCAAGAGATAAGATTCGGATCAAGCATAATAAGGTAGCTAATAGTAGAACAACAATCATCTTTGTTGTTATCCCAGTCCGAATCAAAGTAATGGGGCCTTTCTGAAAAAGAAGAACACGGTGCATGGTGCCTCTCAAAGTCTCAAGTAACGTAGAAGGTGTTTCAAGGCAAAGTAATCTTTACCAGTCGGAGAATGTGTTGTTTGAGATACCTGTTTCACAACATACTGAATGTCTGGGCGAGTGAGAGGCAGATACTGTACTCCACTAATGATGCTGCGAAAAATTTTAGGATTTGAGTAGATGAGAGACAGTTTGGGAGAGGATCGTGCAGCCATGGGCGTGGCTGGCTTGCAATCAGACATATCACCCATGTTAAAAAGCTCAAGAGTGTACTTTGTCTGAATAAGTAAAATAGTATCCTGTGTGCGCTGTATTTAAATGCCAAGGAAGAAATTTAGGAGGGCCCAAGTCCTTCAGTCGAAAATCACAATGCATAGCTTGTGTAACCGTATAGTGTGCAACATATCTCGAAAAGCGGTGGACATAGAATTATATTGTGCTGCTAAAGCATCTTAGAGAGAGTAGTAGAGGTATTGAAACCCTAAGCATGTTTGTGAACAATTGGACTAATATATAACTGCAATGAGACACACACATATCTGGGTGTGGACTGTTAAAGGAAAGAGAATATTTGGTAGAATATTTGGATATATTTGTGTATATATTGTTTTGGTAGTTTTCCTTGTATAGGGATTATTTCTTTTTCCTTTTCCTTTACTTATTAGGAGTCTCAACTTGTGAGATCCTATATATAGGTCCTCATTGTAAATTGTAAGGACAAGAGAGAAATACAGAGAATTTCCTCCCAAATAATTCCTTCATGGTATCGGAGCCAAAACCTTAGAGTTTTTCAGCGACTACTGTTCACGATCGCCCAGCATGGCGTCCATCGATCGTTGCTCAGTTTCAGTCGTTTGTTGTTGTTGTTGCCAGACAACGGAACGGTCGACCGTTGCTCTTGAACGGTCGAGCACGTCGACCGTCTCGTTGGCAGATTGTGTGATAGATGCTGTTGTTGATTCTTCTGCCACCGCCGTACACCACTCTACTACCGCCATGGCCGATGAACAACCAAGGAAGATGTTTTTCTCCCTATCATCGTGTGTTTCGAGTGTGAAGCTTTCAGGTATTCCTGTGTCACCGCGTTGGATTATAGATACTGGGGCATCAAATCATATGACTGGTGATATTTCGTTATTGCATGACGTCGTAGGAATATCACCATGTGAGATTGGTTTGCCCAATGGGAAAAGAATTATTTCTGTACAATCTGGGAAGATTAAATTAACAGAAACATTACTTCTGCACGATGTCCTATATGTTCCCACTTTGAGTTGCCATTTAATCTATGTGTCCCAATTGACAAGGGATTCGAACTGTGAGGCACGTTTTGCCAACGATAAGTGTATACTACAGGATCTTTATTTAAAGACAGAAATTGGTATGGGTGAGCAGGAAGGAGGACTTTATTACTTCAAGGAGCCTGAAAAGAAGATGGTGTGTAGTGCGAAGAAGGAGAGTAAGTTTGATCTTTGGCACAAACGACTTGGACATCCTTCCTCTCATGTTTTGTCTCTTGTCCCTGGAGTTGGAACAAGTAAGAGTAGTCAAAGTTGTTGTGACATTTGTTTGCGTGCTAAACAGACTCGTGGGAGCTTTCCTATAAGTTTTTATCAATCTGCTGATAAATTTGATATGATACACTGTGATTTATGGGGACCGTGTAGGACTCCAAGTTTTGATGGTTCTACAATGTTCTTGACCATTGTGGATGATTTTTCAAGAGGTGTTTGGGTACATTTGCTTGATTCCAAACGCAAGGTTGGCACTGTTTTTAAACAATTCTGTGCTATGGTAGAGCGACAATTTGGGAAGAAAATAAAGTGTGTTCGCAGTGATAATGGCACAGAATTTGAATGTCTAAACGAATATTTCAAGGAGCAAGGAATTATTCATGAGACGTCTTGTGTGTCTACTCCACAACAGAATGGGAGAGTAGAACGCAAGCACCGACACATTTTGAATGTGGGTCGGGCTTTGAGGTTTCAGGCTGGTCTTCCGATTGAGTTCTGGGGAGAGTGTATACAGACCGCCGCACATTTGATCAATCGCACACCTTCGTCTTTGCTAGGGGGGTCACACCATACGAGAAAATCTATGAAAAGCCACCTTCTTTGGCTCATATTCGTGTTTTTAGATGCAGATGTTATGCTCATAACTTGAAGAGGAATGAAGATAAATTCGCAGTAAGAAGCAATCCTGGAATATTTGTTGGATATCCGCAAGGGAAGAAGGGATGACGTATTTACTACCCGGACACTGGGGAAATTAAGGTGTCCCGGGATGTTGTGTACTGTGAAGATATTTTCCCTTTCTTGAGTCCTACAGGTGCATCTCTTGATACAGGAAGTACAAATGAGGTTAGCTCTTATGATGAAGATGAAGAACTGCGGACGGAAGAACGGATGGACCGTTCCAGGAGGGACGGTCGACCAGAGGAAAGCGGTGGAGCAGACAGGCTACAGACGGTCAACTGGATGGACCTTCGATTGTCCACGGTCGACCGTCCGAGAGGCAGAATGACGGGTTCCTGAGAGATAACCAAACGGTCGACCTGGTGGACCGTTATGATATCCACAGTCGACCGTCCGCAAGGCAGAATGACGTTTCGTTGGGAGATGATCAAACGGTCGACCGTGATGTGGAAGACGGTCGACCGTCTCCGAGGCAGAAAGTTAGCGATCCAGAACAGCTTCAGACGGTCGACCCCGTGGACCGTTCCACGGACGGCGGTCGACCGTCCTCTTCCCAGCAGGCGGTGGAGAACTTGGGACGTGGTCAACGTGATTAACGTCCAAATGTACGCCTTTCCGATCATGTTACCCATGTAGCTGGTTCACATGTTGGTGAAAAATGCAAATATCCTCTTGCCTCGTATGTCACACATGAGAAGTTCTCTAACAGACACAAGTGTTTTCTCAGCGCTCTTGATGCTGGAGTGGAGCCGACAAGTTTCAAGAAGGCATTCCAGGATGAACAATGGAGGAAGGCTATGAGAGAGGAGATTGATGCACTGGAGGCTAATAGGACATGGTCTCTTGTCTCTCCTCCACGCCACAAAAAGCCCCTTGGTTGCAAATGGGTATATAAGATCAAGCGCAAGTCTGATGGAAGTGTAGAGAGATATAAGGCCAGACTTGTTATACTTGGCAATCATCAGGTCGAAGGACTTGACTACAAAAAAACATTTGCTCCTGTAGTCAAGTTGACCACTGTGAGAACGCTTTTAGCAATTGCAGAAGTTAAGTGGTGGGAATTGCATGAGATGGATGTTCACAATGCATTTATACACGGAGATCTTCAGGATGAGGTGTATATGAGATTGCCACCTGGTTTCTCGAATTCGTCTAATGTGGTGTGCA